GTCTGGAAAATGTTATAATTTGATTTTATTTAACAAACAAAATGATTTGAATATTGGTATTTTCGGTAAAAGAGACCAAATACCAAATTTAAGTTATATAACTAGTAGTGTAACAAAATTACTAGAGCTCCCTGGCAGTTATTTGTTGCTTGGCAACCGTTATTGATCCTTCCATTAATTGTTGTATTGGAAGTGTTTGTGTGTCTCTGAAAGTTAGACGCCTCCAGTCTGTTCAGACTCAGGATCGTGTCCTCCACCCAAAATTCAATAGGCTGGAGCCTGAGAACACACACACACACACACACACACACACACACACACACACAACACACACACACACACAAAGAAATTCAAGCAGTTGGTGTGAACTCCTGGTTTTTATGTATGTATGTGTTTCTGTGACTGTGTTTTGGGGGGATTTTGGTGTGTGTGTGTGTGTGTGTGTGTGTGTGTGTGTGTGTGTGTTTGCTGGCCCTCCTCTCTCCTTCCTGCTCCTTTAATATTTCATGCCTCCTCTTTGTGATCCTCCTCCAGGCCTCCCAGACCAGGAGGAACCCCGGAGACTCCTCGCAGGATGCTGGCCGCCCCCCCTCAACCCTCCAACCCGGCGCTACAGGCCCAGATCAAACAAGGTAACTACAAAAGGAGGGGGCGCTCGCTTCACACACCCCTCGGGGACCTGAGGGGAGGTTGGGAGGGAGAAGAGGCGGGGATTTGATAATGCAGCCCACCGGCAATAAAACCCACAGAGAGTTATAGAAAAAAACTAAAATATCACAGGAGTAGGCTGCCGCTGTGTCCTCGGCCAGCAGGTCTTTGACATGAGGGTGGAGTTGTTGGAACGTCAGACCTGACTGCAGCTTTGTATCTGTTGAATTGAATTTGTTAATTTTGGAAAACAAAGAAACAGTTTCACATGTTGGGAACTACACAGTTTGACCTCAGTCTGTACTGTAAATGGGGTCATGGGGTTCTGTGCCCCACTCAGTGGAACTTTAAGGGGACATTTTGACACTTCATATTCTTTCACCAACCAACAGTCAGTGTTGGTTCAATTTTTCTCTAACTTTAACCAAATAGCAAGCAGATGTTAATCATAGTGGTGGCAGATAATTTTTGTAACAGTCATTTTGTAATGAATTTTGAAAGCCAGTGACATGGTGGTCCTTGTAATAGGGCCACCAGATCAGAAAATACTCACTGGAAGGCAGGGACAAACGACCAACCAGTGAGTGAGAGGGATTTGTTGGACATTTTAAGGTATGAATATTTCCAGCATGAATCACAGGAAAGAGATTTGATTTTGTATCAAATGCCAATTTTTTACCATGGCCCATTTGTGTCTCCTTACAGAGGCACAAGTACCACATATTGAAAAGGCGCCTAATACAGACGCTAAAGGGTACCTTTGCTTCTGGAAGAGATGCTTCAGGCAAATGACAAAGCAGCATCGGTATTTGACATTAATGGATGAGAACATGTTGGGTTATCCGTAGCCCCAACTTTATGTACAATTTTGAGGAGGCACATGGCATGCACAGGCTCTGTAGGTATGGTATAAGCCCATAACGCACAACTGTAAATAAAACTTTCACTTAGCTTTGAAGCAATACAATTAGAAAGAAAGGAGAATTTCACTTAGTAAAGGTGAAAAAAGTTTTGAGTCTTTCTTTGCAGAGAAAAATCTGCTGTGGTCACTGTAGGGGATGTTTTAACCAGCCGTCACCATCTGCCTACCACACACACACACACGCACACACACACACACAGAGAGCTACCTACCACACTACAACAAGCTCAATACCTACCAAATACACACACCAAAAATCAAGTCACACTCACACATATGCCATGGGTGGCACCCTCGGGTGTTGGGGGAGGCACGGTTTTAGTGCTATTGTCACGCCTTAATAGAGGCCAAGCGTGACAAGCGTGTAGACGTATTCACGCCACACGCCTATTCACCACCATTCAGGGGGAACACTCGGCCCTGACCTATGCTCAGCCAGCTACTCCAACCTTGTGTGTGTGTGTGTGTCAGAGGCTTTGTGCAGGAGAGTGCTGTTAACCCTGCTCACCGTCTCTTTTCACATGGAAATAAATGAGGAGGCCCCTCTAATTTACTGCAGCATTTACAATGAAATGAACAGGCAGTGCTGGGTGTGTGCATAAAGTTTAATACACTTCTCTCACAGTTACTGTTGTACAATCATTTCCACAGTGATGCAGAAAAGGTTTAAAAAAACATCTTTATTTTTCTCTGTTTCGGCCCTTTGTCCACACACTCCCAGCAGTAGTTTTTCCAGGATGCTTCCTCAAGTGGAGGGGAACAAAGGATAAAATCATAAGTCTTATTTCCATAGTTTTTTCATCATGTCTATCACAAATAATAAGGTCGGGGACAGACATTATGGGCCAATTTATGAATTGACAGAAAATTAATTGGCCACTAGTACGGGATCTAATTAACCATTTAAGTATTTTTTCTCAAAAATATGCCAATTATTCCTATGTTCAAGCTTCTCAGTTGTGCGAATTCACTGTTGTTTTTTGTCTTAATAAACTGAATATCTTGGACAAAAACAATCCATTTTAAGATGTCATCTTATTTTTTTTATTTTTCATAGACCAGACAGTTAGTTAAGAAAATATCCACAGGTTAATCAATAATGAAAATGATCTTTAGTTGCAGCCTGACATCCAACTATTTCGGTCTTCTCCTCTTCAGTACAACTGGTTACACAGTACAAATGTTGACATTAACATATTTTCCTGTTGCCATTATGACTGCAGCAGTATAAATTACGGTTGGCCTTGGTTAACAGGTTGCATTTCTATCCTCCAACTAATCACTGTTTTAATGGCACACTATGACAACACAGAATTCTCCACAAGAACACAAAACTGGGTCAGTAATAGCTAGATTGTATAATCGGCTCTCCCAAAAAAAATAATAAATCACAGAGATGATGGTGCTCAGGTCCAAAATCAACACCCTCCATGCACAAATGTGGGTGGCAGAAAAAATAATTTAGTTCAGCAGTCAGTAAATAATTTGGAATAACAGTATACGGCCAGGTTTACATCAATGTTTTTGTGTACTGGCTGAAACCAATGTGAGTTCACCATACATATGATGTCAGCGAATCATCATGTTTTCTGATCTCACTTAATTAAAGCCCCAGGATTGTCATCATTGTACAAAGTTTTTTCCAAAGCCAAACTTTTGTGAGTAATACTACTTTTAAAATATAACTTTCATCCTTCGAGAAAGCCAGTCTGGCCTCCTTTGGTGATCCAGCTGTTAAAAAGAGAATATAAAGAGCTACAGACCTAAAGAAACACTCAACATTCACTCTCTTAAAGATATTAATTTACTAATTAATAAAAACATCATACATTTCTTTACACTTAACAAATTGTACACAATGATGATTTGTTTTAGGTGCAATGCTTTTTTTTCAGGGTTAAAAGCTTTGAGCTTGAACCTGCACCTCGGAGTAAACTACATGGTCAAAAACAGCATGCTTGGACCCAGGCCCAGGAAAAAAATGTGTAATCGTTTATAGAAGAGAAGCATTAGATGGGAAAGAATGAGTGTGCTCTACATACATGTTGGTGGTTTTGGATAGTTTAAGAAAATATTCAATATAACTAGGATTTTTAAAGCTCCCCAAGTTTGTCATGGTTTAATATTTAATTGCAATAGTGAAATTAATCTCGTAACGAGTTTTCCATCTACTATTCCTAGAGTAACATGATTACCTTTTTTATAATTCCTTAGTTTTACTACTTGTCAGGCACTAAATTATCAAGTTAGAATAGGTATCAAAATATCTGCATATATGATTATTTTATAAGGTTACAAAGCCTTTTCTAAAGGGATTTAGAGTAGATGATGCAAAATGTAAAATGATGAATAACATTTAACCTCCTCATACAGCAAATTTTCATTCGAAATATTCGTTTTTTCCGCACCAAAGCTGGCAAAGTACTGTTGACTGCCCTCAGCCATCTTCTCTGTCTATCTTTCAAGTTCTTTCTCTCCTTTTCTTCCTCTTTCTGTCTCTCTTTTCATCTTCACACTGTTGTTCACTGCATGGCTTCAGCCTGCTGCCCGTTCTCTAGAAAAAACCCGTCCCACAAACGCGCTCCCTCTTTAGTATTTCTTTATAACTTTCATTCAGTCTCTTGTTTGTATTTGTGCATTTTTCTTTCACTATTTCTCTCCTTTTCTTGTTTACTTCTTTTCTTTACCACCAACTAATGTAATGTTGCTGTACCTGTTTTCTCTGTTGTGTCTGTGCTATATGTTTTCTCTGTGGTATTTGGACTATTTTATAGACAGTTTTTAGATTTGTACCTGTTGCATTCAGCTGCCTAGCTACTTTTGTGTGAACAATAAGGGTGCTGTCCATGACTGTATTCAAAATAAAATATAATTTTTCTTTTTAAATGTCATTAGTTATTGTATATGTGTAAGATGTGATTTTACTTTTGTGTGAAAAGCTGGGTTGTTTTCTCAAAAATACTCAAATCTTAAATGGGTTCAAATCAGAAACATTATCATTTGATCTTTGAAGGTTTCGGGTTTCCGGCTGTAGCACAAAGAAACATAAAATCTATATGGTTATTACAATTTGAATCCGCACATGATTTTACTTGCAGATTGTTTTTGCAGATATGTTGGTCATCCTTTTTTGAGACAAGGTTCATACTCTTTTTAAAATTGTTTCTCATGAAAACAGGTTGATAAAATGATAATGCCACCGTCTGAGTCCTTCATGTCCCAGTCTGGATGGGTGTTATCTTAACGTATCTGACTTTTATCTAGGAGACTGCAGCTCACATCCTGTTACAGACCTGCAATTATTTTCCTGCTTTTTAAAAAAAAAATTTTATAACCATAACCATGATCTTTCCCTAACCGTAACCAGATCTCAACCATGGTTTATTCACCATAACCACTATTTTCCCCTAACTTTAAGCACATCATGGTTGCCATGGTGCAGATATTGAAGGAGTTTTAAAAGCTTCGGTGCGGAACGTTAAACAACTGTGCCACTGAATGTAATGCAGGTTTTTACAGAATCGTCTAATAGTAATGTTCTTGTTTTGGGTTGAGTCCAGGGCTTGTTTTTTTTTTAAGACTTAAAGATTAAGATTTAATCCATATGGTATCCATGTTATACCTGCTTTTTTTCGAATAGGGCTTATTGAGTTTGACACAACCCAACATGAGTGCATTTGTGTAAAGCAAACTTTTATGTATTTTTAATTAGTTTTTTAATACTTCTTTACCTGTGATGGCTTCCTTTTTTCTTTGTTTTTGTATTTGTATTTTCATTTTGTGTGTTGTAAATACATTTTCTTCTTCCCTGCTTCCTGACTACTTGTATTCTCTCTGTTGTTATTGTATATATTTATATCTTCCTAACCTATTCTTTTCTTCTTGACTACTTCTCTCCTTCTCTTCCTTTACAAGCTGCTGTAGCTGCCACAGCCAGTGCTGTTACTACTGCTACTGCTGGGGCTCCGGGGGCCCCCGGGGGCCTTCCTCAAGGGGCCCCTGGCTCCCCCAGCCCCGGCCCTGCTTCTCATAACATCCCCTCAGTCAACGAAGGTACAGACTGAACTGACGGGTACCACTTAGGGAAAGTCTCGCAGCCATACTCTTTGTTTTCAATTTCTTATCTTTGTCTTTGGAGATCTGCTTCCTAGATCTCCTTTCCTATCTTCCTTCCTTTTGTCCTTTCTCTTGTTCCTTCTCTCCTTCCCATCTGTATTTTTATATTTGTATTTTTTCCCTCTCCTCCTCCCTCTTTACTTCTCTCTCCTAATGCCATCACAATTCTTCACCTTCCCTGTCTTCACTCCATCAGTTATTCATCTTCCCACCCTGTTTCTCTCCTTTGGTCTCGTCACCTCATTTCTCTTATCTTGCGTCAGTCTTGTTTTTTCCCGCAGCCAATGTTAGGTTTTCATCTCAGGTGTTTAGCTCCAGATTTTTTTGTCTTTGTCCTTGTTTTGGTCTACAGCTCTGTTTGTTTAACTGTCTGTCCGTCATAGCTGTGTTCAGTCCACTTTCAAAACAGTCAGCTGAAGAAATTGATAGTTTTAGGTCTCCAAATTTAAATGCTGCCAAACACTTGACGTCACTGGAACTGTGATGTGATTTGGTCATTGGAAATTAAATTAGCCTTGCAATATTTGCAAGAGCTAGCAGTTTTCCTTGCTCCCCAACAATTTTCTAAAATATGGACAATTGAAAGATGGTGCATAAAATAAGTTTTAAAAGTTAAAAAAAAAAAATCTGACCACAATAATCATAACAAATACGCCACTGAAGGCTATTGGAATTGTCTGAAATGTAAGCAATTGTTTTTTTTTTTTTAAACCCAAGTTAATTAAACTGGCAGGCACCCAGGATGAGTTTTTTAGGGCAGCAAAATTTGATGAGTCAAAGAGCTGTGTCATCTGCAAACAAGAGGACTTTTCTGATTTGATGTATTTGAGAGTGCATTGACCACAGTACCTTTTCCCTTGTCTTTTGTCTCTTTTTAGTTGTTGGCAGTATTGTGCAAATCCTACCCTGTTTTTTCTGTCTCTAAATCTACCTGTCTGTCTGAATGTGTCCATGTGTCTCGACGTTTCAGTGTCTCTGTGCTCACTGTTTGCATGCTTGCTATTTCCACCTGATGGAATGGGGAGTGTGTCACTGGGGGAAAAAACTATTTGACCGGACTAAATTTAAAACTGTTTAATTGACTGAAATTTTCCCTTGTTTGACATTTAGCCATTTTCAGATCCATTTATACTGTACTCATAAACCGTTAAGAGGGATACATAGCAAAAGTTGCGTTTTGAAGTTAAAAAAAGAATGATTTTTGTATCAGTCATTTTAAGTTTTACTGTAAATGAACTAAAGTGTAATCATTGTAACTTACAATTGGATTCTTCCTGGTGTCCCTCACAGAATCGAATGCTGGTTTTTATTTGTAATACATTTTTACTTTATTTTAACAGGATGTTGGCTTTTACCATGGAGGCTTGTTGCCCCATCCACCCAATGAATGTGCTCTCATGTTATTTAAACTCTTCCACATTTGTGGTTTCTATAGGAAAAATAAAGTGCCTTTCAAAGCTTATAACTTTAGCTTTAGTGTACAATTTTCACGGACTAAAACAAGTCAGGATTATTTTTATTTAGTTTTATAGTGGGAAAACAGCAAGCTTGCACACAGATGCTCATCCTTCCCAGTAGGCCACACTAGGCCAAAAATGTAGAACTAAAATTCCCTCTAATGTTCTGTTGGGATAAACAGCAACTGTAAGCAAAATGTAGAGCTTTTGTATTGTTTATTCCCACAACACTGACCTGCAGAAACCTTATTATCATTGTCAATGATTTAATATTGTCATTATTTTTAGTAGTAGATTCAGGAATAGTTAGTAGAGGTAGTAGCAGCAGCAATGATGGGAAAGAAAGCCTGCATGTTTTCTGCTCCAGCCACTTGGAATAGTCTGCAGAAGGAATTTAAAGCAACATGTAAGATTTCAGTTTGAGTTAAAGTTCCAGAGTGCAGTTCACTTAAACACCACTGTCGTGAATATAAACATGTGCATTTGTCATGATTACTTATGATAAAAAACTAGCAAGTCAACAGCTTTGCTAATACAGCCAAACATCAAGTAAGTGCGACAAGACATAGCAAGCCAGCTAATATAACTAGTCCAACAGGAAGAAGGCCAGCTCGCCCTCTGTCTACAGCCTTCACCAATCTCTCAACAACGGCTCAAAAGCTAGTCTGAAATTAATTTTTGTCCAGCCTCTTCTTGGTCACTTTATACTTTACTCATCTTAACATATTCGCCAATGCCGCAATGTCCATAAAGGCTGCTGAGCCCTGTTTTATTGCCTCTTGCCTGAAAACGGTGGTCTAACATTAAGCTCCCAGTCCTGGTAGTAGGGGTAAATAACCTACATAGTAACAGCGTCTACATTTAAGAAAAGGTTACCTTACTGTCCATCAGGATACTTTAAATCACAGAGAGTTAAGGCGGTGGACAGAAAATATGATCCAATTTCACCAAAATCAGTGACATATCTGCTGCTGTGTGACTACGTGCTGTAAAGCGTTACGCACCAACAAAGTTACATAATACAGGAAGAGGCATATGGGGTGCTGAATGGGAATTACAGAGGCACAATTCACCCTACTACAAGTCAGTGTAGCATTAGGAAGCTGTTATTTTGAGGTAGAAAAGTTACATAATGTAAAACAGTAAAAGTAATAGCAGAAGCGGCTATTAGCAGCACCAGCAGTAGTGGAAACACCAACACGAATATCTGTTCTTAGCAGCAAAAGTATTAAATGTAGTTTGCTGTAAAAGGTAAGGAAAGCAGAAATCCAAAAGCGTGGCTCTAAGGAAAGGCTATCATTTAACATCAACTTGATTTCAACACTTCTGGATTCTGGTGAAATGTTGAAGCATGGTCTGCCGTATCATGTTGGTATCACGACCCATCTTCTGTTTAGTAGCTCAAGAAAAAATAGGAGATAGCAGAGGAGCTTCCTGGGTCAGAAGGTGACCTGACTGGGTTTCTGTTCTTCCTCAGCATGAGTTTGCCTCACAGTTTGAGGCAAAAAATTAGGGACCAGTCTGAACAGAGAATAAGGATTTAATTAAAAGTATTGATAGTGGTGGTGGAAGGAAAAGTTTTGAATTTGATTTTAGGAGCTAATGTAATGAAATTATTCCAATTTATGTTTTATACATTTGAGGTTTCTGCAAGACAGTGTTGCAACTAGAGGTTGACTGATTATTCTTTTCTGATAATACTGAGACAGTTTTGCTTATTGGTGGACAGATGTCAAATATTTGTTGTATGTTTTTTGAGATATTGATTACCACAAATCTGTCAACCTCTACATAGAATATTCCTGAATACACAGTATGTTTGTAATACACTTAACAGTTTGAGTTTTTCCTGTGTATTTCAATGGCGGAGGTAAGTTTACATGGTGCCCTAGGCAAAGAAATTTGTATGGAATTTCTTTCCTGCTTAAACGCAATTCAGTGTCAGTGCATTTCACATACATGCATCTTTTCTGGAAACCATATATTGAACCAATATATGTGAATGAGGACCTTGGTTTATGTTGAGTATCTGCGAATAAACATTTCAGTCCATTCTCCGTCACAGACATGTACAAACTGGTGTACATTTCTCTCGTGTTTGGTGTAAAATATAAATATGTGCCATTGTTTTTGGCTCAGACTGATACAGCCGGATTTGAGCCCTGTTAAAGCGATACCAAGACATTTTGAATGTTACTTTTCTTCATCAGTCACTCAGGATAATGCAACTGAGATAAAGAGTTATGCACCTATGTCATTTATTCTGAAAACCCACAAGGTTTCTTAAAGTTTTTCTCTATTTTTCAAGTAAAATCTCCCACACATTGTACTGTTCCTGAATGAAATGAAACACACTTTCATCATGCCAAGGTATCGTTATGAGGCTTTTGTCGATCCACCTGGCAGTGCTGTATATCTGTTGTTTACCTGTTTAATGCCATCAAACATACTCAGGCTCTGGTTAGCAGAAATAATAACTTTGCTCTAACCAAGAACACGAATATTAGTCAATAATATTCCCATTCTGTATTTTACTGTTAGTGTGTGAGGACTGTATAAAGTACAAAGTCAAATTGTGTGAAGTGTGTGTGTGTGTGTAAGGATGTGAAAACCTTACTGCTGTCGTATGGAAACACGTTTTTTCAGCCTTAAGAGGAACATTATTTAAATGCGAATAATTTAACAGTATGGGAAATGTTCTGATTTCCTTTTTGTAACTTGAAAAGAAGTCATACCTGATCGAGATCAGTCTTAGTCTGCAGTGTGTTCAAGTGAAACTTTTAACAAAAGATGTAAAGAGACGCAAAATGTTTGTCAGCACTTTCCACCATGATTGTGGTATCAGGTGGTTTATCTAAAACCTTGGTCCATTAGCAAGCGATCTTGGCATTAACACTCCAAAAACAAGCAACATCATCAGCATTTTGCATTCAGTTTGTTTTGTCTCAACACTTTCAAATTGTCTGGTTTAACACAAAACAAAGGTTTTTATGTGATAGCAGTGAGGTTTGTGTGGGAGCACGTGACAGTTTTCGAAATATAGGACCATCCACTGGCCCTCCCTGCAGTCTTTTTTGACTGTGTGTGTGTGTGTGCGCAGGATGGAGCCAGCTGGCAGCCATGCACTGCGTGATGCTCCCTGACCTCCTGGGCCTGGACAAGTTCAGACCTCCTCTGCTGGAGATGTTGGCGAGGAGATGGCAGGACCGCTGTCTGGAGGTAACACACACACACCGTATGCACAGCTCCATGCTAATGCTGCATTCACAGGGATTCAGACAGACGGACAGCACCTCCCTCATAGCACAGAAAAACAAACAAACATTCCGATGATATGAAGGGTGCAAACCTACACGCAACAATTATGTTACTATGTGATGGTCATGATGTGAATGTAATTGGTTTAAAATAATTCTATTGCTTATAAGTTTTATACATGTTTTCTTCGTGTTGTGGGACATCGGTTTTTAAATTCTGTCAAGTGAGATATTTCACTTTACATGATCAATGCGTCACCATTACGCTGCCAGTATGCCTGCGGGCACCGGCCTCACCTAATTTTACCATCCTGCTCCACTAACATGACATCAGGTTTGCTGTCAACTGTTTGCCTCAACTCATGTGAATGCAGCATAAGGCTTTCAGGCTAACCCTGTCTTCTAAGAATGACATTTATCATACATAATGTTGACCCGGAGTACAAGATGAGGAAACAAAATGTTTTAAATATGAATGTTTATATTGAAATCTATCTGTAAATGTAAAAGAACCCAACTTGACGTCTAACATGGCTGCTCACTCAAAGACCCACTATAGATCACTGAAGAAGAAGAATGATCAGAATAGTCATAACTCGATTCTTTGCTGTTTTAGGTGCGAGAAGCAGCACAAGCTCTCTTATTGGCTGAGTTAAGAAGGATTGGCCAATCAGGACGTAAGGACACCATTGACATGTGGGCTCCCTACCTGCCTCAGTATGTGGATACTGTCAGCTCCCGTAAGTACCTCACGCTACTTTAGTTCTGAGAGAAAGAGAGACAGAAAGAAACCAGTTTTTCTGTTGGTTCTTAGTGGTTTTTAATGTCACACAATGACGGTATTTGTATACAGCTTTTTATTTCAGAAAAACAGAGCAGAATTTTTTTTCATGAAAACGTATCTCAGAATTGTGAGATAATTAACCCATTATTTTAGAAAACATACAGAAAAACAGGGCAAATATTTATTTTTTTAAGTGTCTACCCCCCCATATATATCCATCTGTCTATGGATACATATTCTCTATCCAAATCTTTTTTTCTCTCAGTCTGTCTTCTGTATATTCCCTGGTCTCTCCCCCTGTCTATAGTTAGACCTTCTGATGGGAAGAAAGGTGAATCTCCACCTTCTTTTACTAGAAACAGCCTTCTAAAATGCTGTGTGTGTGTCCGTGTGAGTGTATTTGGGAGTCGCCCTGTGGTTGGTGAGGATGCTGGGGGTTTCTCAGGGGAACTGTTGCCATGGAAACGGGCACCGGTCAGTGTTGTGTTACCACAGCAGTACCGCAGGCGGGGGGAGGGTGTGGGGAGGGAGTGATGGGCCGGTGACCTCGGGGGAATGAGGGAGGATGGAGGGGGGAGGGAACAGAGACAGAGAGAGAGAGATAGAGCGAGGTTAAAGGGTCATTGAATTTGATCTGTGTGCTGCACAGCAGGACTGGAACAGACAGTAAGATGACTCCTGCTGGTCCTGGAAATCCTGGAATATCATGGGAAAGTCGGGAATGTGTTGAATCCTCTGGAGAAGTTCTTTGAACTTGAAGCTGTACTCTAGGTGTGTCTATTGTGAAACACAGAATATGTCATTTCCACACATTTTGGACTCAAAACCATCCTTTTCCCTTTCTGTAAAACAGGGTGCGTCAACCTTCTCTGTTCTGGGACCCCATGTTTTGGTCCCAAAATTCTACTGACCCCCCCTACCGTCACATAAAAACTGCTGGTCTACTTTTGCCCTGAAGCGAACCAGCACTAGCAGCAGTAACATTGCTCGAAGCTTCATATTCGAAGGTTAAACATGTTGTCTCTGTATCACAAAGCGTAGTGTCCGAGGTCCACAGGGCTCCAATGAGTCTATTAAGAGGAGGGTGACAGATATTTTCCCCTAACATTAGGACCAGGCCTGTTTTTATTCATTGTTTTTTTTCCCATCAACACTAACGTTTTTAGCTTGTTCACTAACTGGGAATTCACTTCAGACGTTCAATGTCACTATTGTGAAAGCTCTACTGAAGCATCCATCCATTCAGTCCACAGCAACTCTGACCTCCATTACAGCTTCATTGTTCTCAGAGGCAGCTGTACACAGCACCTGAGGAGCTGAGAGGACAGCGGCAGGACTAATTGTCTTCACCAGGCAGAGAAACGTCGAACATTTACTGCAAAAAAATAGTTAGAAAAATAGGCTTCGTAAGCCTTCATCAATCATTAGAGATATATAAGTTAATAAGTCCACTACACATAGACAGCAGGAGATTTGTATTATTTGAGCAACAAAACAAAAACAAAAACAATAGACTCGGAAAATTGTAATTGTATTTAGCCTCTCACTCAGATCGCCTACATAAACCTGACTATTTAGCCTGTTATTGGTTCATGGGAATAAACACTTGTTAGGACCAGGGTGCAGCGATGGTGCCCTTGCCAAACAGTGTCAGGAGGACTTGTGTTGGTTGAGTATTTGCATATGGGGGGGACAACTGCTAGCTTGTTTACATTTGTACCAGGTTAGGGTTAGGGTACCTTGCCCTTTTTTAATATTCAGTAAGTTGTTAGCACGGAGGTTGTTGTTGTTTCACGTAGTGGCGGGGAAGGACACTTCCTGTGAGGCAGACTATACCATACTATATACTGTACTGTACATTGCAACACTTCTCACACACCCACTCCTTCCACCCACAGTGTCCTTCACATGGGGGCAATGAGTGTAACATAAGTGCAGTGATAGGACTTATTTCTCACTGTTGACACTGTCATCAAATAGTCTCTCCCTCTGTCTCTGTCTCTCTATCTCTGGCTCTTGCTCTCGCTCTCTCTCTCTCTCCATCAGCGGAGTGGTTGCTGTTTGAAGGAAGACACCTGTATTTATCCATTAGCTTTTAGTGCTGAGGAAATGTCACAGAGTCAGTGACGTCCCACTGTCGCAGCGTGGGGCTGACGACCGCACAACACACACAAACACATACACAAAGCAGTGCCTATGACCTTTCAGCTCTCCTGGAAGTGTTTAAAAGGCTTTAACACAAAGGAAACAGGCCAAACTGGAGTTGTTAACCTGCCCTTAGAGAGAGAGAGAGAAAGAGAGAGAGAAAAGTAGTGTCCACTCCGTTTTTATCATCACTCCTGTGTCTAATTAGCTGCTTTTTTTTTACCTTAAAGGAGCTGGTCAAACGTTCTTATTAGCTTTCTCTCTGAGAGTGAGATGAGGACACTGACAATCTCATGTTTGTGTGTTAAGTACGGAACTGGACTAAGGACGTGGTTAGTCTAGCTTAGCATTAAGACCATTAACATACATTAGTGGACAGAGCCGCCAATGCGAAGTACTTTAAACCTGCATTCTTTCTAATGGCCAGCAGAGGACAGCTCCACTGGCTGCACGAAAAAGTCTGATAGTATTGAGCCTTATGGAGAAAGTAGCCTTTCCGACTTGATTCATTGGCTCAGTTTCCTAATGAGTTTATAGTCTCAATCTCTAGTTTCAAAACTTCTTCCATACATTATTGTGTATGTAAATGATGGTTCCATTCAGGGTAAAATTAATATTAAAGCAGGCTATGTTTTTGGGCGTGGATACCTTGTGACTGACAAGTCATTCTTAGTGAGTCAGTCCAGTCCAGCTCAACACACCAACCTCTGATAAAACTGGCTGCGCTGATCAAATATGAATCAAAATTCTGTTACTGCATTGCCCATTTCTCGCTTAAAATATTTCCGAAACCTATTATTTTGTACTGTTAAACTAGAATATGTGTCCACTATTGTTTCCTGCTACGAACGCATTGAAACCAAGGCACGGCTAATAAGCTCAACTTGCAATATGTCAGTGCTGAGGGCTACAAATACCTTGGTGATCCATAATTGCCAAACTTGATGCTTCAGGTTCACACCTAGGTTCACCACTCTCCATAGCTCTGTTTAAAGTTTAAAAATCAACTACCAACACCTCTAAAGCTTCAAACACCAAACTGTTTCTTAGCGAACAACAGCCAGGAGCAGCGACCGTATCTTGGCACCCTGTGGTAGCTGAACATGCTGCACAGAAGCACTAACAAACAATAAAACATGAGCATGAAGCTTTAATCTTCTTTGGGGTGGAAGACTTCCAGAGCAGCAGGTAGGGGGACAAAAGGGAGCAGTGGAGGCCCGGGAGAGAGCCTGTGAGGCTGGGCAGGGAGAAAGAGTCCACCTGGTGTGTGTGTGTTTGGGGGGGTGTGGGGGGTGTACACACACTTCACACTCTCATATTCACACACACTTGATTAAACAAAGTCCCCAGCATTGTTCACACTCACACACACGCATGAACACACACAGTTTTAAGGGTCAAACTGTGTGTGTGTGTGTGTGTGTGTGTGTGTGTGAAGCAGCTGTTTCTTTGATCACTGAACAGCGGTCACCATTTCCTCTCTCTCTCCTCTGTCTGTAGTTTGTTCTCTGCCTCGGTCACCCAATCCCGTCTACTCGGTAACCTGCTGCTGTTAAAGATCCGCCTCTTCCTCTTCTCCACTCCTTTCTTGTCATCCTCTCCTCCTCCTCCTCCTCCTCACCTTTTTCTTCTTTTGCATGTGTCTCTCACCTTTCTTCCTCTTTCTCCTCCCTCTCTCCCCCTCTCCCTGTCTTTCACTTCTTGACCTCGGCTCCTTTTCCTCACTTCCCCCTCTTCATCTCTCCTGCTCCTTCCCCTTCTTCTATTCCTCCTCACTCTTCTTACTTTTCCTCTCTCCAGTTTTGTTTTGTTTGTTTCTTTCTATCCTTTTTCTTTACCCTGCCTCCTTTCCGTCTTTCCGTACTTCGCTTTTCCTTTCTTCCTTCTTTGCTGAGTAGCCTTAATTTCTCCTCTATATATATGTATCCTCTGTATGTTCTTATATAATATCATATTCTATGAAGCCACTTTTGTTAAAATGTATATAACAATAAAATAAAAACTTTAACATAAAAGAAAATTTAACATAAAAAGGAGCCAGTTGGCAAGGAGTGGCAGCACACTGAAACAGGTCAGAGGTTTTAATCATATCGAAAAATAATATTAGCCTGATACATATCTGAAATATGTGGTGGGAAGTTTTCAATTTCAATATTACACATGCTAAAAGGAAACTTTTAGTAAAAGAATTTTACAAGAAAAAACATGAAATAAAAATGTTCCATTAAATATTTTAGGAACAGTTCTGAAAATTAACATTGCAATAAATAATAAAAATACAGAAAAGAAACAAAAGATCCAAAAAAAAGATTGAAGCTGAAAGAGAGGAAGGAAGAACAGGAAGTACGCGTTGTAAACCGGAGGAGAGAGAGAGCAACAGACAGAAGAGAGGAGCATGAGATCCTGGAGGTTAACAAGGCATGCTGGGAGCTATGTGTCATGGCTGACATGACAAGCTTGACCTTGGAGCAGGGCAGAACGCCTTCTCCTCCTACCCCCCTACTCCCCCCCTGTCATCTGCCCCTCCTCCACCTCCCTCTTTCTTCTTTTTTCCTTCAGCTCCTACATCTCTCTCTTTCCCATTCCCTCACCCAGAACAGTTGAGTTATAGGCCCAGCCTGTGTGTGTCTGGGTGTGTGTGTGTCTAAGATAAACCACCACGAACAACACATGCAGACCAGAATTAGACAAATCTGCACAGTGGTTTATTTTATAGCTCATCTACAGCAATCTATCAGGAATGTACAGAATATTGGTGTGTTGTGCACCTCACAGTTTACATCAAGTGCTGCAGCTGGAGGTAGTATGTCCTTTATGTAGGCAGGTGGAAAGTGATTTGAGTGTTTTAGATGCTTAACCCTAACCATACGTTAACCAAAGTTTATTTGCAGTAACTCACATTTTTCCCTAACCTTAACCACATCGTAGTTGCCATGCACAGATATTGTGAGAAGAAAAATGAAAATAATTTCTGCATTTACCATAATCCTGGGCAATTCAGTCCTGCATGTGGTCAGGGTTAGGCTACTAAAAACTTGATTGGATTGAGCGAATTCTCAGCTGAAACGATGTATGTGCGAGTACCATCAGAGTAAAACGTGTGATTATCCGTACCTAAATATAGTCCTCAATTTATCAATCAATCCAGATCAATTTCAGGCTTTAATGAACAACTTCCTGTTTAAGCACCGCCCATGTCCGGTTTACACCCTACAGATACCAGTACAGATAATTTAGTTGGTTGAACAGATAAAGATAATGGCATCCTCGCTCATACCTACTAAAAACACATGCTTTGAGTTGTCTAAACATAACAATAAAAGCATGTATCATGCTTTAGGTGCCAGGAGTAGATACTGTAGGAAGAGAAATAAAATACAGGTACTTTCATTTAAAACATTCAGAGCACAAAAAGCTTGAAAATGGGGAGCAAAAGGCAAAGGTACAAGACTGCGTACATAACTATAACTATTCATTTAGTGAATGAACTACTCATCCCATAAAGCATCGGTTGAGAGCGATAGTGTTTGTAGAAAAATCAGATGGTCTTTTTGTCCAATCACAGCGAAGCATCAGTTATGTTTTTAATTAAGTTCAATTAAGTTTTTATCACTTTAACGTTTGAGACGGATAATCAACAACCATGCTGTGTATCGGCCTTCTGTCAGTGTGTGTGTGTGTGTTTGTGTGCGCGCGTGCGTGTGTGTGATATAAAGCTGTACAGGGTCATTATGTTGAGCTGTCAGCAGTGTGTGTGAGCAGGTTAATTGGAACATGGAGCACAATGTTAACCGGGATTAATCAATGTAATTACACAGTGTAATTACAGTTTTTTATTTTTATTTTTTTATTGGTGCGTTCAGGGTCTCCTTGTGAGCTTGTGTGTGATGGTTGTGTTATTGCTGTTATCTTTTTGAAATTAGCTTTTTTTAGCTGATGTTTTCTCACACAGGGAAACACTGTGAGACTCTGTGTGTGTGTGTGTGTGTGTGTGTGTGTGTGTAATTCATTAATTAGGCTGTTTTCCCAGAGATTAGCCCAGTGTAGGCTCTGTTACCTCCAGTCGCTTCATTCATTAGCGCAGCGTCATTCATTAACCCAGCTGCTAATGAAAAGCCACTCTTAATTGCCAATGAAGAGATAAGGGCTAAATGAAAACACTAAATATAGAGAGTGCAGCTGTGTGTGTGTGTGTGTGTGTGTGTGTGTTTCCATTAATTCTCTAGATAATGAGGAGGCCCAATAAACCTTTATTAGCTGCTTAACCAGGACAGTTAGCCTGATAATAAGGATCAACACAGAAACCTGTTGTGATGAGCTCACTAACAACACACACAAACAGCCCGACATTGAACATCAACTGTTTATCTCTCTCTCTCCTCAGCTGGGTCGACCACTGAGCCCTCCCCTCCAGCCCCGCCTCCTCCTGAGGCTCAGCAAATAGAAACTAAGGCGCCTGAGGAGGAAATGGACGTCACGGATGATGACATCACAGCAGGTAAGGCCAAAAAATATAATGTTTTTAAAAAGGCTTACTTAGTTTACTTTGTGTAACGTAATGTAATCCGATCCAATTACTAATTACCTGTTGTAAAACATAGTCACTGACCTAGTCCACAAAGTACCACAATATTAAAGTAACGGTACTTGACTACTTTTCATTACTTTCTGATTACCTCAACACCAAATATGTAAATTCCCCATGACCTCTATGCAAGATTTTTACAATGTGATACAATTTTAAACCAACATTAAAGCTATACTTACAGTAGGTACTTTTGTTATCAGAAGGCTTTCATAGTTCTCATACAACATTGTAAATCACATCTTGACAGCACCATAGTGTGTTATGTCAGGAAGAAAATCTGACCGTATAAAGACAGTATGAAAACATTAAATTAGTCATCGCTATAAAAACACAGGCAGCACAGGGTTGTCACTTGTGAAATAACCGTGCTTTTTAAGTGCCGCTGTTGAAAACTGAATTTGAACTTTGCTGGAGATGCTGTCTGACTGCGATCCAACCCTTCCTAACATCAACAGTGACATATGAGGCTGCTGTATGATACCATGTAAAATATCGCACTGCACTTGCACTGCTCAGGAAATGACATAAACACCTGGAAGGCTGGTGACAAAGAGGAACTACCTGCCTGATGGTGATCTGGTGTTGGATTTCTGTGCCAGTGGGCTCTCCATACCAAACAGCATGTTCCAGCAGCAGTAGTTCATATGTTTACCTGGTACCACAACATGCTGGCATCAGACTGATATCATTACCATTATCATGAATAATGGGCGACATTTAATTGGTTGTATCCCGTGTAGTGTGTCACATTGGAAGACTGCCGATATTGAAACTGCTGAAAAAGTGGTGAAACAAAATTACGTTGTTAGTTCTGTCAGGTTGGAACAGTGAAATTGGTTCAAGGTGCTATACCGATTACCAAGTCGTGACAGACGGCAAGCTCTGATTGGTTCGGGGTCCAACATACAGTCTACCATGTCTTTCGGCCACAGCAGGAATTTGTGACTGATTTATGACTATCTCAGAGGGCAAAAATACTGTGCACTCCACTGCCTGTATTAGTACAGGGTGAGGAGCTGGAGTCAGTTGAGGATATTCCACATCTTATTAAAGATCGAAAATGACTTAATCATGTCTGAAAGCAACTTGTGCTGTTCACATTTCACCTTAAAGTTAGTGTGAAATATTTGAGGTAGAAAGCAGAGGCATAATTTTCCCCAGTGAGCTGTGGAGCCACATCTGCTTTCATATAAGGAACATTAAAAACTCATTTATCATTTATGTGGCGTTGAATTTGGGAGTCTTGCTCTGGTGACTCTGAATATAGGTTAATCATAGTGTGTGTGTGTGTGTG